ACTCTGGGTGATTTTACAACTTTGCTAGAGACAAAACTAATATTTAGCTCTGCCCAATAATACCAAAACATGTCTCGTCAATCTTTCTTGGGCTTGGACAACAGTATAGCTTAACCTGACTCACTATCATAAAATACCTGCACAGATAACCATTTTAAGCCAGATTTTAAAGACACTATGCATCCGTCTCATCGTGTATTTTAACTTCGCAGCATGGGGGATCTAAATCTTGTCGAGATTTCGTAAATGAATAATCTCACTCTTGCTCATTGCACAATTTGGGTTTAACGACTGTGAAGCCACCACCTCGAGGAAAGGTGACGTGTTGATGCATCATAAGTTGATTTTGATGCCACTAACGAGAGAGGAATCTAGTCTTGAAAAGAATGGGTGGAAACAAATTAGTCAAAAGATGAGATTAAACTGACGAATAATTTTTATCTGAATCGAGTTTACTTCATCCTTTTACTTTTTGCCGAGGTAATAAAATCAACCGCTTCTGAAAGATTTGAAAGAGGTGGCCTCGAGGTAATTAGGAATTAGACAATTTTCTGCTACCAACGAACCCACGAAACGCTTAGTATTCCAGAAGCAAAAGAGTGAACTTCATGAGCCCAACAACCTGCCTCCGAATTTCAAAAGTAGGATCCAGTAAATAGAATTCATAACCGTTCCTACAATTTCTAAACCTACTTATGTACCTCCATCCAGAACACCAAAGAGGAATATTACGCCGAGCACTGAGGTTAATATGCTCATGGTCTCATTTGTTTAACACTTCCAGGAATTACGAGTACGAGCGAAAGCAAAGAAGGGACTCATTTATTTACTCGCATAACAAATATCACACACCGTGTGCTGGGTTTCAAATTCAGTCTCCCATTATTCGACGTGGTGCTTCGTACGTTCCTTATTTATTCGTTGTTGAGACATAAGATAACTTCAATATACGTACAGCGTATGCAAGCATTGACTTGTGTAATATGCACTCATCCTCAAGTGCTAGCTGGGTGAATATGTATAACCCAAAAAACATATTATACAATTTGTAGCTTCCAAAAAGTTACCTAATGATGAGACAAAATTCCAGTCTCTCCTCTCTTTTGTTCTTCGAAATGGAAATAATAACGTTTTCAGCATTATTCTTTCCAAGTGGACTTTAAAAACTCGACGAGGAGATCTCACTGCTGCAAACAAAATGTCTCTTTTGCATCCATGCGCAATGTATGTGCATCAGGCAGAAGAGACGGGAACCTTTTTTCCTTCGGCAGGGCTGGGCCTGAGCTCCTTGCTAAACGATGGAATAAAATATTTGGACACTCTGTAATTAAAAGGGAAACCAGAAGTTTCTTCCTATGCTGGCCGTGTATATTTGTACGTCCGAAGTAAGGGCACATTGAGAAGGAATGATGTTTTTGTTTCACAAGAGCCTGCAATTCGTATGGCACTGGGACTGCTGGTATGGATGGTTGATGTTGAATGGTGATGGGCTTACCCGGGTTTAATTCGGTATGGTGCCATGCAGCAGTGAAAGTTATTTACTGGTCTCTCTTCTGCAGACTGGCTGCTGCTCTTATGCCACGCATATTGTAATAACATGATAGCATAACATTCAGGGTTCAGAGTCGCTGGGGAAAGGGCAAATGAGTTTAATCAAACTTTTATACAAAGCAATCCATTTGCACTTAACTATGTGCAATAGTTACATTTGTGTCTTCATTGTGGAATACAATTTGCCTCCTTCTCACTGTCCAAAACTACACAATAGTTCTATTTATTGTTTCCTACGAATCACAATTTGCTCCAGTGCACACACTTGAAACTAGAATTCATTTCCTATCAATAATAAATAATCTTTTGCATAACTTTTCTTTTTGAAACTTTTAACTCCATTTTGATTAAATAAATGTGCTCAAAAACAACTAACAATGCGATGGTGTGAAGTGTAACCCTCCGAATTGGTTGAAATTTTGAGATTACGTGGTCAATGTCAATACAACCAACGTTCCTTGAGGCAGTTTGTGCGATGGTGCGAATTAGTCAAAATATTTGAGGTCAAAGTTGAAAAACTGGCGATTTTTACCAAGCGGAGGAAGCAAACTCAACTTCCATTCTCTTCCAGTGCTAAAAATTGCACATTTTTCAACTTTACCCGCAAATATTTTGCCAAATTCTGACCATTGCACAAACTGCCTGAAGAAACGTTGGTTGTATTGACATGGTCCACGTAATTTCAAAATTTCAACCAATTCGGAGGGTTACACTTCACACCATCGCATTGTAAGTTTTGAACTCTAAAATGAATTTAAACCCCTTGCTTCAATTGCTGTATATAACATTTTATCAATTTCACAAGCTCCACAAACCAAAATAGAACGATAATTTGTAAAGTACGATTCGAGGTCATTTGTATTTATGAATACATAATTTTAGGATGATGTGTATTTAGCAGCGTAGAAATATTACAAGTGGGTATTGTTTTGCATGAAATTAAATATGGAAAGACCTAAATTGTTTACTCGAGTTCATGGTGCATGTCGATGTAATTGTTATTCAGCGCAAAAACCTGATACCTTCACATTGCCTGAAAATACTATTTATATATGCACACATACGAGCCGGATAAAGAGCTCTAATAATTGCAATTTCCATCCCCACACACCATTCTTTAGGGTCTCGACATTGGGCGACATCCAATAAGACATCATTTTCGTTGCCTGTGAGACTGGTGCTCAGAGAAAAGAAAAGCAATTTCGGTCTTTTTACCTGCGACGCTGTTTGCCACGTTTGTTACTGCACAAACAATAGGTTGGCTATCAATTCTTTCACCCTTTGTAGTCCGGCAGGAGCGGTTCCTTTGCATACATATTCACTTGGAACCTGTCAACGTGTCTTTTGCTGGCAAAAAGAAGCGAGTGAAATCAGGGAGATGATTATAGAGGTTAGAGAAAAGATAAATACGGGTTGGGAGCGAACGGGTGACGAGACAATGGAGAAATGATGGGCTCGTGTAAATAAAATACAGTTATGCATACCGAAGCAGCGTGGGGTTAAGATGATACTACCCGTTTCTCGCTCGGAGGAGGTGTATCATTACTTTTGGGCAGCCTTCTTGTGTAATAATAATAACGGACGGCTCTGCTGCTGCCTCTGAGAGAACTGGGCATGAAGGGCTCATATACATTTCATAAAGTTCATGAGAAATGCATGAATGTGGTCGGGCCAAATATTTTGTGCTGCTGCTGGACCCTGACGACTATGCCATCAGTCGTCCCCTTGTTTCTTGTCAGCCTCGGTCATGCCAAATTATTTTCTGTCACATCAACTTGCTCACCTCACCACTCGACTCGACTCCACAGACACCGACGACGACTTCTCCAGTTGTCCTGCCCTGTTATTAGATATTTTCGTGCAAGAAAACCTCTCGGCGTGGCTGAAGAAGTAGTGCAGTGTCCACTCCATGCATATTCTCAGGTTCGCCTTATTTAGATTCTGTCTTGAAGCAACCACTATTTTGAATGGAATAATATTTCGTAAACATGCTATCAGACAAGGCATCATTTATTCTCAACCCCACACACTCACACACACGGCAAGGAAATGCCTGCTCCCTCTCCCTCAGGTAAACATGAGTTCATTTTGTTTTGTAAAATGAGATACTACACACAACAACCCCTTCATATGAACTAATACGAGGCTGGTAAGTACACTACATACATATGCAGACTGACTGAGGAGTGGAAGCCGGATTTAGGAGACAGATTGCTACTACCTCATCTCGTGAAGTCACATTTATGGAAGAGAGATGAAGACATTGGATTATAATTTTATGTATCAACTTTTCATGACCAAATATGGAGAGGAGGGTTCAGAATGTGGATCGTTATAGAATTACGAAACTGTCTCTTGTCGGATTACATACCTACACTCGAAACTCTCTCAAATTCTCTCTCCCTACCAAGTCAACTTCAATTCCACTATCTGCGCGACACAGTAGTCAAGCTGGTTCGCAAACACACTTTGCATAATCATCTTGATATGAGCAGACTATTCATTTTTCATTTACAAGCTAGTTTTATTAGCAGTGCAAGTCCTGCAAAATAGTGGTTTAACAATCCACTGACGTCACTAGCAATACTTATAATTATAAGATTTATGCATGCATGCCAAGACTTATTGTCAAAACTTGGGTATTCAGGATTATTCGAGAAGGTCTCTAATAAGCGAGAACATGTCATGTTGACACCCGCAGTGGAAAGTTCAAAAGTTATCAAATCTCGAGGTGCTCAGTAAAATGTTCTGCAAGACAGAGATAATCATTCGATTTAATTTCCCAACTTTGGTAACAAGCTCTAATACTTTTATCATCAAATAATGTCGACATCCTCCAGGACCCAATTTCCTTCTCGAGTATAAAGGAACAATACTCAGCAAAACTCGAGAGGTGAGGAGTTAAATTTTTCCACCGTGCTCACTTTTTGAGCAAACCTCCCTCACGCCATCCTTCTCAACAAAGGAAGTAAAACTCAAACCCAACCAAGTTAAGCTAAAGTTAACTCAATCAAAATAACCAACTTTACTCTCATGAAACTTCAACTTTACTTTGAGAGAAAGGAGACAAACTTGTTTATTGGGAGTAGTACTTTCCCCTGGATTAGTTTAACGGCAATTGAATAGTACCAACAATGCAGTAATGGCACAAGTTGGCGGAAATTCATACTGACAAAGTGACTAGAGCTTATTTTCTTAATTTGTCCGCCAATGAATAAAAATGTATTCCAAAACTACTTGTAGGCACTCAATCTCTGTTTCTCTGTACAATTTAGAAAAATAGTTGCATATGCACAAATAAATATGCAGTAAAATTCTTTTCATATTGTGAATTTAAGAGATTTTGATTTTAGATCCGTCATGGAATATGATGTAGACATGCAGGAGTTCTGATAGAATTCTTCAAGAAAGAAATGGAACGGTATGAAACTGCCAAATCGCAATCTTACCCTGTCGTCGTCCCACTGATTGGTTGGATGCTGATGACTGGCGTTCTTGACTAGTTCGCTTTCTCCAGGGAGTAGGCTAATATGCTAACGACATGCAAATTTCCGGCTTCGACGTTCTTTCGCTTTTCCGCTCTCAAACCCAGTCGAGAGTGAAAGCAGGGTTGGCAGTTGTTGATGTTTTAGTTCGGATCAGGCTACGTTAAGAGGGACACCGTTTAGACGTTTCAATGGTCAGATTAAACTTTTGTGTGTGTGACGGAACTGTTTTTTTCCTCGATTTGATACGCGATCAAGAAAAATCCTGCAGAGCAAGAAATGGAGTTTTGCTGCAGAGAGTGTATGTATCGGGTTATAAATATATGGCTCTTGCACGTTGTTGTGTAAGTCGATAGTCCGATTTGTTTCGCTATCGCAGTTTTATTCACGAACACAGTTATTTTTCTAACCACGCGATGCAACAAAGTCTAATCATTCGATGTAAATTCACCAACATGGATTGGTCGAGTCAGAGCGTTTTGTAGCCGCTGCACACGTTCCACTCTTGGGATCAAATCAGCAATCTCGAGTTACACTATTTCGGTTTTAATGTAGACCTTGGCTGAGGTGAATTTTATTTTTCTGCATTATCCTGAGGTCAACGAATTTGGAAAAATGAAACGCTGCTGTACTTGCTGGTTATATGTAGCGAGTCCAGAAATCAAAAAGTGGAGTATTGCCCTTGTCAAAATATGTTGCAAGGGTGGCTGAAAGTGTAGGAAGGGAAATCTCGGTGGTATTGAATTGAGAGCTGTCAGATGACAAAACGTGAGAATGGTGTATTTAGCAGAGAGGAGAGATTCTTCTTGAGACCAGTCAGAGAGACATTCGGCAGAATACTGAGGCTGGAGGGCAAGGAGGGTGCTGATAAAACCTGTGTGTGAGAGAGTGGTGGTAAGTTTGCGTAATATTCCAGCTCCGAACAAGTGCCCAACTTATCCTACAAAACGCGCTGTGAATTTCCTCGTGTGCCTCTACGTGACATAAATCCGAGTTTGCTTGTTCTTCGTCTTCTTCTTCCTTTCCTGCTCTGGTTCTGGGCCTCTCATCTTTTTGGCCGCTTAGTCAGAGCAAAGTCAACTTGGGCATCATAATGCCGATCTAACTATCTACCTGACCCCGGACCTCACATTAATATTAATATGATGATGGATGAATATGGAGTGGGAGGGATTGTGGTCTTGAAGATGAAGGAATAATTTTTACTTTGAGGTGAGACGAAAGTTGTATTCGAAGGCTGGATTTTTTCCATGAGTGACGCGAATTACGACAGGAACCCATTATTTCACCGGTTGGCAGGCGTAGACAAGATTGCAGCACCTCTCTAACGATATAAATCCCCACAAAAGCACGAATTCAAACTTTATATGCTCAGCATTCAAAGAAAATCACGATATCAAAACTCCATCGACGAAACAAATAAGTAAATGGATTATGGTTATATGTACATTAGGATTCTGGGACAAAAAGCTACTCGTTCAGTACACATTTCAGCCAGGCATATCTCTACGTACGTGGCTTTCATAACGCACTGGCACCGAGCAATAAGATGGGAATAATATTCGGCTCTGGCTTCATTCTCTAAATCTGATTTATCGTTATTCTACATAATCACTCCCATTACCCAATCCAAAAGAGTTGCTTTATCGACGTTATGAACGAGCGAGTGATTATCGGTGTCATTTTCTTTGCTAAATGGTGAAAGCAAGAACTTTTCCATCAGATAAGCCAAGTTTAACCTGTTCTCTGCAGCAGAACCACAATTCCACACAACTCCAAGTCGAATGGGGAGGAAGATAAAGATTCAAATTGGCTCGGCGAGAGTAAATGACGAACAAAATATATATCTTCCAACTCGTCCTCCTCCTCCTCCTCCAATCCACACTCTATTCATTTTGATAATTCCTTATACACATTCGCAAGTTTGTAGATGGAATTGGAATTCGGAGGTCTTATCACCAGCCAGTCATCCACTTTGCAGATTTCATTTCTTTTCAAAAATGCTTCGAATTCTCAACTATTGTTTAGCATGGAGAAAGAAAAGCGATTTGAACAGGGGAACTTATTCTCTCGCAGCATCCCAGTTTGCACCCAAACCTCCCCGAGAGGATTTCCAGCCCTCAAGAATAAAAGGAAAAAGGATCCGAACAAATCCGAAAACCCGGAAAAATTTCCCTGTCTCAACCGTTAGTGGTTAGACTGGATTCTGGATCGGAGGAATTGGATTGGTCTACTTCGTGATCATAATGCTCTCATGCATTCCTTATGAAGAAATGTGTGCTCGCTGCTCGCCCAACCCCGTGTTCAAGAAATCCCTGTACACATGCACGCGTGGATGTGGAAATTTAAATTTTCAGATGTGTTAAAAATGCATGCAGGCTCCAATAAGTACAGTTCTCCTGCATGGGCACAAGAAAAAATATCACATATACTCCATGCAAGGAGAAAATAATTTGCTTTCTCTTCCTTCTCCGTAAATGTACTGTTGTGTACTTTGCTGCAGAATAACTCTGTGTTTTGTCATACAAAAATATTAGCTTAAATACTCGTTACTGTACAAATTAACAGTGAAAGTCGTTGATTTGATTTTCACCACTACTTAAAAAAATGGTAAACTAAATACATATCTATGTATGTTCACATTGATTTTGGAAATTCAGCACATGAAATTCAACTCTGAACTTAAAAATCTCAAGTGGAGCACAGACATGAGAAAAGTAAGAGAGTGGAATGGTTTAAATATTTATTGCATAGGAAAACATCGCAGCACATCAAACACTGCCCCCTTGGAACCGAGTGATGATTGCCGACACCGTAAACTGAGAAAGTTTCACCTCACCTCAAATTTGCTCAGAGACTGACAAGCCCTTTGAGTTGGAGCACAACTCATAATAATTTCATTCTTTGTAAGACAGTGTAATGATGGACATAACATCAAATTCCACACACGAGGGTGCAACAAAATCATGGTAAAGTTCAAAACTTTAAAGTTCACAACAGTTACAGAAAGTTACTTTTATGGGAACTGGTGAATATCTACCTCCACGTAATATGAAGGTGGATAGGTATTGGTATTGGTATTGGTATGAGCCATTCTAGAACATTCCAATTGTAACTAACTTGAAGAAAATAAGTTTCAACCTAATACATTATTTTGTATCTAAATTGCATGTAAAATTATTGATTGTATTTCCATATTTAAAAATAAATACTCGTGCTAAGCAGTTCCATGAACATTTCTTTTAGAATATTATTTCTCGAGTTGATTGAATCTCGCTGTAATAAATTCCAATAATGTCGACATGAATTTCCGACATTTGGCATACGATGAAGAATAAATTAAATAAGACAACCAGAAAAACGGTCTCCTTCATAATATGACGCATGCAATGTAATCAATATTCTTCCTACAGTTGCTTCTGTGTCAATTTGTAAATTCAATTCTTGAAGATCACATTCCAAATAAAATTTTCCAAGAATTTCTCCTCCTGAAATTACGACGTCTCATTTCGAGCAACTCGACGTGGATGAAAGGTGACGTGCATCATAGTGAATAATCTCTCACTCCTCAGAAGAGCAGCAAGCAGCAGGTCGGCCAAGTGTGATGTTTCTCAATGAAGTGCGGTCCGTCAGCCAGCCAGCTAACAATTGTTTCGTTCGTCGAATTACAAACCAGCCTGGAATGATTACACTTCTCGTGGTTCTGTGCAGTGAGAGTGAGTGAGTCGCTTTTTTGTTTGGGTGGCAAGGACCACAGTCTCGTCGTCGTCGTTGGAGGTGGAGATCGAGGGGTTGACAGAATTTCCGTCTCGAGTTGTGTCAGCGAGTACAGAGACGTTGTTTTGAGCAAAGAACTTTCTGCCACACTGCACTTGAGGGAAAAACCGAAAATCGATCCCTTTCTCGCCTTTCTCCTCCCTCCTCCAACAACTCTTTCCTATTAAGCAGACACAAGTGCAAGGTTTGCGTCGTGATGATGAGAGAGAAAGTGTAGGAACGGAATCCCTGTTCCGTCTTCTTCGGTGTCTCATTCTTCTTGATCTTCTTCCTCCTCCAACCAGTTGTCCCCTCGTCTTCCCATAATAATCGTCAGGCTCTCCTGTCCTGGTCGGAATTCGGAACGGAGATATAATCAAGACACTTGCCAAAATGAAGATGAAGATGCGGTGGAATGAGACAAAGATGATGATGATGGAGCCAGGTCTTCCTTCGGTGGTGGGAGATCAAGTGTACCAAATAAGTACCAATTTTGAGAAGGGAGAGCGTATAACTTACCTTGTTTGTTGTCTCTGCTGCTCTAATTGCGGAGCGTGGTCGGAAGCAAGGAATTGTCGAAATGATACTTCATTTTCTCACCGTTGTCCAATTTGCTCTCCTTTGTTCTTGTTTATTTATTGCTTCATGTATTTTAATTACTCGGCTCATGCTTCCCCTCCAGCGTGGGGAGTTAATTTATTGTAAGGCATCCATTTCTTGGAGGAGGTTCTTCTCGCGTCTCACATTCACCCAAGAATACGTAAGCACACATTTCGCTATGCAGTGTAGTTGTGTATGTAAAGAATGTATATGAGTGGAAATTACTTGGTTATGAGACCAGGGAGCTGGTTAAATTAAGACGGCGTTTTTACATCAACATAAACAAAGAAACCCACCCGAGCGGGTGGTGAGGAGCGAGTGAAAGCGGTAGCCGGTGCATTTACGTAGATTTACCTGCTGCATAAAGATAGAAAAGATTAGGTGAGAAAAGGTACGTCGACACTTGGAGCGATCGTTGAGACAAATGTAGAAGAAAGCAATAACGTGTGGTAGTACATGGTCTGGAACATAAATAAACAGGGCTGCTCAACATGTACAACATTATGCAAATATTGGTCCATTAACCGAGCCTGTGACAAGCCACTTAGCGATTACTACTGTTGTCCGAGAACTCGCCGTATGGTCACGACACGTCACACCCAGCATGCATGACATGTATGAGTGGCCTGTGACCACAAATATGCCGGCGGTGGACTATTTACTACGATATACCTCATTTTTAAACAAACTAATTCCCCAGCACACGTCGCCGACAGCAGACCACCCGTTTACAAACGAGAAGTTGGCGTTTCAATGGACTTTGGTTGTCATTTCAAGTTAAAAACTCAATTTTAAACGAGATTGTAATCTAGAATTGTGGTCGAGAAGGTCCTTGTACCCTAGGTGCAATAACTTACGTATGATAAAAGTGCATAATGTGTACCCGTATGATATACGACCAAATGCACGTGAATGATTAAATCTGTTTAATGCTAATTGCCAATAAAAACCCACAAATTCCCAAAATGTCAAAGTTTATTTGATTTTTCGAATGTCATTTGTTCATGCTTTCTCCACCGTACGAATGTATTAGCTATATAATTGATGCAAGTTTATTTTCTGACATACTCTGTTATTTTTACAATTTATAATCTCATAGTAAACTCTACGCATAACAAATTAGTGATTCTGCGATTGTTTATTCCATCTTGCTTACTAAAATTTTAAGAAATCTCTTCACTCGGGCAGTTGGTCACTGAACGGATTCCGGAAGTGTCCTCTAATCTCAAGACAGTTAAATTTTTGATGTTTCGATTTGTGAATCTTATTCCAGCGAATGGATTGTTTGAATATAAATGCACAAAAACAAAAACTTTACAGTTCGTTGACCCATTTCTTGTCACAATTTGAAACTTATTAACATTTGTTTGGTCCAAAGCCTCACCTTTCAATAACAGCTCTATGAATTCAATTTTTAAAACAGATTATCTCGCCAGAGAACACCAACAAACAACACACTTGCTTGGGATTAGTTGGAAGCCATCACAACAAATAAGTTTCACCAGGAAGTGAAGAAAGTTAGGGAAAGAGGTGAATGTTCCATAAATATTCACAGATTTACCAAGATTTTCACCAACAACAATGATTACCTGGTGGAAAGAGTCACTAACCCAATTTCAGTATTTTGAATGATAAAGTTTGTTTCCTACAACTTCTAAAGTGCTGTAAATAAGTTTAATTTTAATGCCAGGTCAAAGAACCTCTGTATCTTAATCAGCCCGTCGGTTTGCATGACACGCACAATGCTCCGAATTTTTAGCAATATTTGTACGTAGAATGGGAAGCGGAATAAAAAATAATTACGTCAGCCCTCTTTTTAAATCCCAGTAGCTAAAGACATCTGTGGACGCGGAGAGGGAGAGTGAAAGCTCAGAAATGTGTAGGACTTGAGTAATCATAAACTTTCTCCATCGAGTTCGCCACCGCTGCCGTTCACTCCAACTCAAATCTTTGAGCTGTAAAACACGGAAACAATTATTTGGAAATTACGCCATACTAAACTTATTTATCATAAATATGAAGGTGGTGAAAGAAGTATACTACGCGTATTTTGTTAACACGTACATTTAACAAATGGAGGAAATGAGATGGAATGTTGCGTATACTTTTATGACTCAGAAAATATCGATCCATTTACATATGTCGTTCTATCTTCTCGCTTTCCTATTCACGCTGGCAATACAGAAACTCGTGGTGAAATGTCACGATCCTGTTGGCTGGGGGAGAAAGTAAAGGAAAATTTACACTCTCTGTCGGTTCAGAGTTCTCGTATTTTAGTAGATTGAATTTAAACCAATTTCTATTTACTAAAGTTTTGACTGTGCTCTCTCTTCGGTCTTATTTAATAAATATGTAGGAAAAACGCACGTTTAAATTGGTGAAAGGAGTTTGAAATTTTTTAATGAAATTACTATTTGCAACGGATACCTTGTTCCCACCGGCTTAATCTGCACACATGTAGAAATAGTCCATTTAGCTGTAATTTTCCTCTCCGGAAGCTACTAGAGTAATAAATCCGTGTTGAAATTAGAAGACAACGTCTTCCTCATTGAGATTTTAATCATGTAAAATAGGTCATCTGTACTTGCACAAATTATTATCGACATTATATTACCGACAGCCATGCTGGATAGGATTGGGTTTCGAGTTATTCATGCGACAAGTAAGAATTATGTTGATATTTTTATCAAATTTATTATTCATCTGTTAAAACTACCGAATTTCGAAAGCTCTGATTTTTGTTAGGTGAAGACCCAAGATATTTGGGCTCCGACCTAGAACGCCATGGTCCAGGTATGAACGGCTGGAGGTCAGGAAAAGGGCAGGCTTTCCCACAAGAGCTAATTTTGCAGCTCGAGTCTCGATCTCGTTTGGGACACATGCAGTTGCTGGCTCATCAATACGTTATACGTGAGACATGCAAACTCTACGTAGCTGAAACATTGTTAACAACTCATTCATTATGCATTTTAACAAGTAAAAATATGATTTCGATAGCTGAAGCAATCGAGCTCTTTATCGGAGAATGCATTGACAGCGGAGACGGAGTCGAGGATCAGAGTAAGATTGATTTGAACAGAGTTCACTTTATTCATCTTGGACGCGTTACGATGTCGACGAATCAAAGTACGGGATTCAAAGCTCGGGAGCTGAAGTCAATTACTGTGAGTCAATTACTGTGAGCTTTCTATTACGCAAATTTGATTCTTACGTCCATAATAAGCCTTGCTAAACCTTTGTTATAGGTGAAATGCATTGGTGCTTATGTCAAGTTACTTATAAACAAGGCCTATAGAAATAAGTACAATAGAGATCAGCAGGTTAGTTGTGGGATTCTCTTTGACGAATTCAGTATCGTCCAATCCAAGAGAATTCCTTAATCTAAAATTTGCAAATTATATCTGAAGGCTGCATTGGTAGCAATAAACATTTTGGGAGAGAAGCTAGAGGACGATGACGAAATGACGAAATCTTTCTCTCAAATAACATTTGAAGAAACGAGTGAAAGGGACAAAAACTTGTTTTCTCCATTTGACGACTTATCGTTCACAATGTACGTGGATAACGAGGTAAGTTGTATACACATGTTCATAGTTCTTGAGTTTCTTATCGTCAGCGAATAAATTTAAGTAACTCATTTGATAATTAGTTCGAATGCATAACATGTTTACATTGACACAATTATCAATTGTTCCATGCAGTATGAAAATGAAGCAATTTGCGAAATTAACGAAATTAACTCGATTCGCTTTAAACCTTAGTACCTAAACCTATCAAAACCATTCATGTAAAGTACTTCAAATTTACTGAATATATAGGTGCAAGACATCATTAGAAAAATGGACCTAAAGAAACAAGAAGCTGTCTTAGGTGGACATATATTTATTCAACTTTATTTATATACCTTTTGTACTTGAAATTTAAATGTGCAATTTTGCTAGACGAGAGATTTGATTACGCGAGCAAGTTGAAGTCATCTATGGAACATTTGAGAAAGTCTGGAGAGCTGTTAGCCAAGTACCAATTGGAGAAACAAATTGCCGCAAACCGTGAAGATTTTGAGAAAGCGAAAGAGAAAAAAATGCAAATGGATTCTTTGAGAGAAAGTTTATACAAGTCGTTACGTGTGAAAGAGCTACTCGAACCAAACGGAGTGAGTGTCTCAATTTGAAATTTTATTAAACCACTTAATTATATAACCAATTCAATTTTCACAATACAGCGTATACCTGATAACGACGAGCCTGGGAGGGTGCTGCTCGGAGTGGCCGGGATGACGAGGTCCATTACCGAACTTTCTCTCCCGCAGGAAACAATGTCTGTAGCGTCCACCCCAGGTTCCTGTCTACAAATATGCATAATTTCAGACAATTATAAATTTTCTCTAATCACTTAACAAAATAATTTTCAGAAAGTACAACCAGTGGACGATTTTCTGAGTTGACGACGCCCGACCATGAAAAAAAGGAGTCTGGATATTATAGTAATGATGAGCCCAAACTGCCTCCAGTGTTTTTAAAGTAAGACTAATGATAACATCAAAGTTCCAAGTTATAAGGTGACTGTAATGGATTTAATTTTAGAAGGCGACGTCCCCTCACCGTTGCAGCTGCTTCTAATCTGGCCGCAGAGAAAAACAGGGATCGGGATCGGGAACGGGAAAGAGAAATGTCGTTGGCGAAAGATGACCCAGTGCCAAATCCAAATGCGCCCTGCAGTGCATGCGTTAATCGACCATCGAACATGTCAGAACGAGCCCGTAGATATGCAGCATTGCCAATCCAGGTTTTTGGGGAGCCCTTGGTAATTAATAATTCATGCCAAGCATTCGCAATATATTTTCGGTAGCACTGGATTAATCTGGTAAATCTTATTCTAGGTGGAGAAAATGTTCTCAAAAAGTTTTTCAGTTAAAGAGGATGGTTTGAGATGTTTGCATAAAACATTGTCCGACTACAAACGTGGTGATAAAAATAGTATGTCGTTCAAATCAATGCTTTTTATTATGGCATAATTTTTCTTGCAAGTATTGACCATTTGTGCAGACCCACCATCAAAAGTATTTCGAGCTGCTAGTCTTCTGCTTCAGAGGACCATAAAAGACACAATTTTCGGAGTGTTTCATCTTACAACCGAAACTCTTATATACTTGTTGGACGACTTTTCTAAAAAACACAGGTGCGTACTTTTGAAATATTCTGGAGAAAATACGCCAACCAGACAAGACCACCAATTTATAATTACACGTTAAAATATTTTTGTCTGCAGGTTGGTAGGGTCTGAATTGGCACAAGGATTGGAAAGAATATTACCTGAACTTTTGTCAAAATCTGGAGACACAGCACTGGGAAAAAATAAAGTTGCGGTTGAATGCATTCTGAAACTGCAATCATGTCAGCATATTCGGTAATTAAGGGACTGCAATTTGAAATTATAATGATAATTCTTCGTTCTAAACGTTATTTGTTTATGGGGACAGAAATCTTCATGTGATTTCAACTCATTTAACAAAACCGTTTGACACTCCTGTTCATCCGAGATTAGCACAAAGCAAAACTGAAATGGTGGAAGAGGTTTTGAAATTGTATGGCCTATCTGCCGATAAATCGAGGTATAAATCTCTGCATCAACACATTTTAAGACATTGAAGTTAATGCACTGTTCTTAATTTGTCGTAAATCTGTAGCGGGTTGACGGCAAGAGATTATATTGAATTTGGAGCATCAGCCCTAAATCAGCCTTCTGAATCTATTCGCCGGGTTGCAGAGCGAATAGTGATTTCCTTGTACCACACCCACCCAAAACTAGTCCGTCAGAACTTGCCACTTGAGGGAGACATTTCCAAGAAAAACATTCAATTCCGACAACTATTCCAACAATTTGAGAAAATTGACAAAGACGTGAGTAAAATAAATAATTATGTAGTACATACTTACAGTTCCTTGCAATTTAGCAGGAAATTTGGTATCGAACCGGCAAATTGTGATCAATGCCACTTTTCGTACTTACGCACCATACTAATATGCATTCTGGGGTAAAATTTGGCGATTTGGCTACCACCAAAAGTTTAAGAACCAAATGTCCTATTAAATTGCAACGAACTGTAGTAAATCCTTGCCGATACATATTTACATGTGTGTGTATGTGTTATGTTATTATTATTGCAGAGAAAGGATGGAGCCTCCATCGCAATTATGAAAGATTTGAAGGGCAGTCATAATCAGTCCATGGCTGCCAGTGTGTACATTCCGAAAATCTAAATTCATTCTGTGGGGAAATTTTGTCATGCAGTTTTTCTTATTTGCATGTTTTATGCCGAGCCTATCTGGATCACACGCTTATTTAGCATTTAGCTCAAATCGAGTTACGTTTTTAAATTTAATAAATGTAAGACACACACATTATTACACGGTTTTAATGTTGAATTGGCTAATTTCACCCGTGTGCCATTGGGTTGAGCAGCAGGTAAAAGTCGATGAAGGGAAAGCGAGTGCATATCTAAATGCTGCGACCGTTTGTTGTGCTCTGAATTTTCATGGAGAAACATCAACTCAACAACGCGCAACCCCCTTATTTCCACGCTCACCCTCACTGTAATATATAAGCCATCATAAAAAGCATAATAAAATCATAACAGAATTGGGAGCACAAATACTCGAGTAACAGTTGTTTTCTATTTTTGTATTATTATTGTAGTTTTGTACATACAGTGAAATCCTAAATTGAAATATGTAAGGTTTATTATGTTAAGAACTTTGGGATAATTCAGTGCTTAAAATTGCATGGAAATACAATTTTCCATTCCAGTTACCAACATGTAGTTAGTGCTGGAAAAGTGTTACATGCATTTATTTCCCCAAGCAATAAACGACCAATTTCTTGTCGAAAAGGGGTCGGCACAGTCATAAATATTTGTTCCGTCGCGAAAGCAACATAATAAAAAGAGTGTCAACTAATAAGTGTTTTTCTAGTAAAGATAGAAATAATGGCATCTCAACGTGTAGATTATAAAGCAGCAAATGGTGCAACACAAGTACTAAATTCGGTGAACAAGGGACGCGAATCAACCTCTGTGAACAACGCTCAAGGACACAACAGAAGAATGTCTTCTGTCAAACGGTCTAAAAGTCAACGGAGTCCAAACACACGTATTGTTTGCGGTAAGAGAAAGGCCACCGTAGATTCACCAACCCGGAGACTCAACAAAAAGCTGGTCCATGCATTGTCCGAATCACGACAAAGCAATGAATATTACATACACGAGTTAAATAAGCTTCAAGGTACACATACTTATTTACATACATACTCTCGTTAAATTGAAATCAAGTCTAGAATCTTACGTACATTGTATTTATAAAAAAATATTTAAATATTTTTCATTTTACAATTCAAGCTGCTAGTTTGAGAGAAATCTGCGACTTGCAAAAAGAAAACGAGGCGTTGAGTAGGGAACATGTAGAACTAGCTCAAACAATTGAAAAGTGGAAGAGACGGTGTCACGAACTCAGAGACAAAAATACACATTTTATAAAGTTGCAAAGTGTAAAGAAACAAAATCAGGCGTTACAGGAAGATTTGGATGTGTGCAAATCTGTGGTGTGCCGATTGAACCATGAACTAATGTCGAGTCAAGAAAAACTGGGAATTTTAGATGACACGGACGTCGACACTGGACTACAAAAGCAGGACAATAATCAATTAGAAATGTCGGAAGCAATACAAAATCCTCGCACTCGGCTTTTCCCTCTGTTGGTTGCATACGATGAAGTCATCAAAGAAAAGAATGAGACAATCAGAGGGCACGAAAACACACTTGAGCATTTTAAGACGCGATGCAGGGAAGTAGTAAATGAAAATCAAGATTTGCATAAGGTCATATCGGATAAACAAGGGAAGGTAAAGTCGTCCACCAAATCAATAAGTCTCTCAGAAAGCTTTTCACCTCCATATTATAAATATGAATATTATGACAGGGAACAGTTTCAGTTGAAGAATGGGAATTTTTGCATCTGAACGCTTTAGTGGTATTAGAAGAAAATGATGTTTTACATGAAAAGATGGATTTGATGAGAAACAAGGAATCTGTAATGATGAGAACGCACGAAGAGAAGGGTGAGATTTTTTGATTATGTACATTCGACCTGAAAATAAAATATTATATTTACTTTTATGAAATTGCAGTGCAAAAATTAAAAACAAAGGTTGCAACCTTGAATGAAGAAAGGGAGATTCTCAAAGAGGCTGTTACAAAGTCGGAAAACCAGTGCAAGCACTTATTTGAGCAGCAGTCCAGATTAACAGAAATTTTTGAAAAAAGAATCCCACTTGATCAGCATGAGGCATCCGTACAGGAATGCAAAAAGTAATAAATAGCTGGACATTTAAGAAATAGAAATATTTAATAGCAAGTTAATACAAGTATTTAATTATCCTTTTTTAAAGTCTATTTGAAGAATTGAAGCTCAACTACAACTCGGAAAGATCTGTACTTGTAGCAAAATTAGAGTCTGCAGAAGCGGAGAAAAGTAGGCTATCCGGTGAGATTACTGAACTCGAAGCAGCCAATGCTCGTCTCCAAACAAGCTTATCATCATATGAAGAATGCTTAGCGTATGCAATTAATGCCAAATTAATCATTTCATAAATTCTTGGAATATTGGGTTTCATTTCTGAATGCATTTAGTTCAAATACGGAGCAATTCAAAAATGTGTACAAGACCATGTTAGATGCCACAAAAGCGAGGGACGCTGCCACCATCGCAATGGAGGAAGCAACAAGATTTTCACAACGAATAATAGAAGAAAGGGACAACAGTGACCGTCTTCTGCGAGAACAAAGAATGCTCAATGAAAACCTGGTACAACTTCGCGATAAGCAATCTGGACTGGTTTACGAGCTTCAGCGGAAAATTCATGCAAGTGATAATTAGATGTAAAACAATTCATTTTTATAATGATCCCATAACTATTCAGGAAATGGAGGATATTCATTCACAAGAAGTCGAGAAATATTTCGGCAAGATCCAAGAGTTGGAGAGATCGAAAGAGCTCCTAAGTTTAGATCATCAGCAAAAAGTAGTGTATTTAGAAACTGTAGTTGACGACAAATCAAAGCGGATTGATCATCTTGAGACAGAAAAAAAGTAAAATTAACGCACGTACTTATCAACTTTTGTGTCCTTTCTCATCACTTAACTACTTGTGCTTAATTAATTTCAGACAATTGGAGTTAGACTTGGAAACTGTGTGGAAAACTACTACCTCAACAATGAAGGAACTCGCTCATGCTAGATAATATTTTTGTTTGCATTTTAAATGCAAATTTTCCTACTCTTTTGATTTGAGATTGTTTTTAATTCAGTTCTTCTTTGTTTCTATCTATAAGCAGTAATATTTTATTATAATGAAATCTTACTAATATTAAGTGAGAAAATAAAACTACATTTAAAAAACAGCATTCTTCGGTGAGGGTGCGACTAAAAACTTTTAAACAAGAGCATTGAACAAATTTTAAAATTTAATATTACCAACTTTTGCCTCACCGTGGCCATTTATTTAAATGCAAAATCATTTTGGACCCACGGTGAGGCAAAAGTTGATAATATTAAATTTTAAAATTTGTTCAATGCTCTTGTTTAAAAGTTTTTAGTCGCACCCTCACCGAAGAATGCTGTTTTTTAAATGTAGTTTTATTTTCTGGTTTTTGGGTTGGCATTTTTTTGTTGGTTACCAATAGCAATAAGATAGGTAAGGTGCAATTATCATATGCGATTAAGCAGCTTAAACGGCTGCAGATACCTCCATCAAAAGTTTCTCATGTTTCAACCGATTTTGCTCGAACGTATCTTAAATGGTGCGTAATCAGTGCTCGCACAATAAAATCAATAGCTGGCATGATCATTGTATGGCAAAATTGAATTTCCGGCTCATTTTAAAGTTGCGAAGATCCTAAAATTCTTGTAATATTAGACTTTCGTCACGAGAAAGATGAAAAGACACTAGATTTCGTAATTGTCTGATTTTTTTGTTTCAACAATTTTTCACTAAATTTAACCGTTCGAGCTGTGGCCGTGGCGGAAGTTTTAGGACCCTGTCTTGAAAGCATACCTTGGCTTCGCCGTAACCATGCGCTTTTCTGTCGTGAGGGTAGCCCTTGGTTACTTTCCTCACCTCAGGAATAAAATAAATAATTACATATTACAAATATAATTTTGAAAGACATGCATCAATTAATTCAAACATCATCCTTAGTTAACGTATATCTAAAATAGAAAAATCGTTCTCAGACTCACAAAAGTATAATAATAAATACCGAATAATTTCTGCAAGTCATATGCATGTGGGTGTGCATGTGTAAGCAATAAGAATTTCGCAATGGATCTAGACTCCAGAAAATTGGCTAGAGAATAGATGCATACGTTCTGGGGACAATTCGAGAACAGTCTCGACTTGACTTGACTGCGTGAGAGAGTCAATTGTGCAGTCAATAGACCGCAAGGACGGAGAAAGCTCTCGAGTTTCTCAGCTTTCTCTTTCTCCTCGCAAGTGCAGAGTGAAAGGAAAGTTGTATAGTAACGTCGAATGCGGGGCTTTCAAGCGACACCTCACCCTCACGTTACAGCAATGTGACAATTAGTTTACTTGTGAATCATAGTTATCTGTTACCACACCACGTAAATAAATTGCAAGTAATTGTAATTATTAGTCACTGGCCTGCTGTGACTCACGGCACCTCACAACGAATCTAGCTCTCGCTGTAGATTTATTTATCCTTTGCTCAATACTAATCCTAACTTAGTAACTAGCGATGATGCTCTTATTCACTCGTACGTATTATTAACCACAGACCACAATAATACAGTCTAGTTGATTTAGGACTTCCTTTAGTGAATCATCTGTAGCTGAACTACACGTACACAACAGTGACACAGGTATATTACGCGAGTTACCATTATTCACTAATTTACTAGTGCCCAGCAGTACTTTACTTATTTTGTCCAGTAATTATAATTTGTCTTTTAATTTGTTGCTGAATTTAGATCACAAGATTGAAACTCAAACTTTTTAATCAAGAAAGATAGCATTACATACAGTCATTTGTTTGAAGTTACTAAATAAATTAAACAAAGTACCAATTGAGCAGCCACTTTGCACTTGAAATTTGTCAACAATGTCTCAAGAAATTGTGATCAACTCTTGCAAACCCAAACATTCCTCAATCGAATGCCCTTACTGCCATGCAAAATTGGAGTTTGTGACTCCTGCTGGTGCTGATGAAACGTTAAAAATTAAGATAAAGTGCTGGAATACGGTTTGTGAGAAGCTAGTTCCGTTTAAATCGTCTGGAGTCAATGGAACATCTAAAAATCACTTTACGTCTGGGACTGCCAGCACTAGTTCAACGCCGAGGAAGCCATTTAAAATGGGGACCGATGATGAACCAGTTTCCCTCGAGGTTTGTAGTTATTTTTTGATTTATTTATGTATTGGTTAATTAGTTCTCGCAACAGTTTATAAAATTACGAGATAATAATTAATAACTTATAAATTATATATATGTAGTATTACGAGCTTCTCGGAGTGCCTCCAAAAGCAACGACAGCGGAAATTAAGAAAGCGTACTACCGTTTAGCGATGCAATTTCATCCGGATAAGAATCATGACCCTGGAGCAGAAGAAATGTTTAAGAAAGTAAATGACGTGTATCAAGTACTATCAGATCCAGTACTGCGCAAGAAATATAATGAGTTTGGCCCTGGGAAAGGATCAGGTAAAATGTGCAACATCAATAGTTAAACTTAAGATAAACTTAAACAAGTTAAATTACAGGTTAAATTAGGTGTTACTTATAATGTAATTTTTATATGGACAGATCCAGAAGATGGTTTCATCAACCCAGAGGACTTTTTTAAGGTATTTATATTTAATTGAAGGGAAAGACACAAAACGTTTTCAATTGCTTGTGTTAATATGAATTACAGATGCAATTTGGTGGTGATGCCTTTGTCGACATAATTGGGGAATTAGCGATAGCAAAAGAATTCAAAAACATGATGATGAAAAATATGGACGACGAAGCTGCGGCGGCTGCAGCGGCTAGTGAAAACGGAGGTACCCCTGATGGAGCAACATCACCTGAAAAGAAATCTGTTGCTGGGAAGACTTGGGAGGAACGTCGGGAAGAATTGGAAGAGAAACGTCACGCACGAGACGAAAGAGTATTGCACTTATCAGAAAGTCTTATTCGGAAACTTACCGTGTACATCGACTCTGGTCCAGAAAAGTTTAAAGAGATGATAAATTTAGAGACCGAAGAACTCAAGGTGCAAAACTATGGTGTGCAATTGCTTCATGCAATTGGCTATGTTTATACTGTCAAAGCCAGCGAATATTTGGCAAAATATAACGAAGACATTTTGGGAATGCCGTCATTTGTCCACAGAATGAGACTCAAAGGAAGGGCTTTTTCAGATACGTTTAGCACAGGTACTGCAAATAATATACATATGCTTACGAAGTAATTCTTCTTATTCATTCTTGCGTGGGAAGATCGACTATTACACGTAGTATAAATTCCATTTCAGTCAAATCGGCGGTGGATGTCCATCACACATTTGTTCAACTGCAACAAGCCGAACAAACCGGCGCTAGTGAAGCGGAAAAAGAGAAGCTGCAGGAAGAAGCTGTCAAGAAAGGTACCGACGCTATTTGGAAAGGAAGCAAATTAGAAATCGAAAGTAAGTCATTTTATATGAGCAGAGAGGGAGAGAGATCATTGCTGGGATTCTAATTCCAAACTGATCTCTACATCTCTGATCTCTGCTTGTAGTTGTACACATATTTCGACCATATGCACGAATAACTTATTGAATGATGTATTACAGGCGTGATTAAATCAGTTTGTGACAAAACCCTGGCGGACATTACATTAGAGAAATCAATTTTACGAAAAAGATCCGAAGCTTTGAGAATAATAGGGGATACGTACCAGAATGTTAAACCATTCTAATTAATAATTGCCTTATTTAGTGTCAATTGGAAATACCTCAATCAATCATATTATCTATATATTACATGTATATGAGTTAGCTCATCTATTTTTATTATAGTTTTTTGTATTTTGAGAAATACTAGATTATATTGAAAATATTAGAAGACCAGATTTTCCCAAAATTGCGTAGTCTTCTCTAGTCGATGTCCAAAGTCGTTAAATTAGTATTCGGGAAACCTAGGTTCACCACTCTTCGATTGAGTGTCCCATAATCGTTAAGTGTTAAATAATGAATCAGAAGAAGAATTGATCTCACTTGTGCGATAAATACAATTATTAATTATGTTAATTTTATTCTGAAATTTGATAGATCTGTTAGAAAATTATTAGTTATTAATATTTCCGATAGACTCGTTAAATATCGGGTATTATTATTCATTATTCATATATACATATATATCTTCACTGGTGCTTTTCAAAATAGATTAACTAAATTCCAGAGATTAACACATTGTATGGATTATGCATAGACACCACATCTCGATGTTACTCTATCTGCATTACCACTCTCAATAAAACAGTAATTACCGCACTCACACAGACTCTAGATTTATTATTCCTCAAGATACCATAAAAGTAACAAGTTGTTTGTTGTCCCCCGACCTTGTGGAATACCTAGCACCCCATCAACTGGGGGTGGGGATAAGGGGGGGTGCCGAAGCGGCGGCACATGCGGCCCGCATCTATTGGGGACATGCCCATACGACACCCAAAGCCTTTTTAAAAGTCGACTTTAACGAGATACGGCGGGATACAATTCTCCACATTATTCATGAAAGGTTCCCCTCAATGTTCAGTTTTTTGTCGCAGGCTTATGCTTTTCTGTCTCAATTATACTATGGCGACACCCCCATCTCCTCCCGCCGCGGGGCCCAACAAGGGGACCCGTTAGGTCCCGCACTCTTCGCCCTCGTCGTCCAGCCCATTATCCTTGCAATCGAGGCAGAACTTAATCTGTGGTATCTGGACGATGCCACTATAGCGGACACCCCAGAAAAGTGTTAGTCGCGATGGACACCATTATCCGCATGGGGGAGGAAGTTGGTCTTCGCCTGAACACCGCCAAGTGTGAAGTGGGCGTGCTAGGGGCGGACGAACGTTCCCGCCTTGAAATTTTGGAGCGTTTTTGCCGGGCAGCACCGGGGATACAGCAGATTCCCCCCTAAGCTGCCGTTCTTCTGGGTGCTCCTCTCACCGATATGTCAATCGAGACTGTATTGGGGGCAAAGGCCGAACAACTCGCAAAACTTGGGACCCGACTACTCGAGCTCTCCTCCCACTCTGCTTTTTTCCTCCTTCGGGCCTCCATATCCACGCCCCGCCTCATATATTTTCTTCGTTGTGCCCCTACTTGGCGAAGATTTGACGCCCTCACCCTATATGACTCCAAACTAAAGGAGTCAATGGAAGGGATTCTCAACTGTACCCTTTCCCCGCATTCATGGCTTCAGTCTTCCCTTCCGGTCAGTGAAGGTGGCCTAGGGGTCAGGCATGCTGTAGACGTGGCGATTCCGTGTTTCTTAGCGTCCGCCTACAGCGCCCTGCTCCTTGTTGAGCGCCTTCTGCCACCTTACCTGCATGACACCGACACCGCCAGGCAGGAAGGGGAAGAAATGTGGAACCCGATGGGCCCCGCCGAACTCCCCCCACTCGAACTTAGGGATGTTCAAGCGGCTTGGGAGATGCCTCAACAGGAGGCCGCCGTAAGTCACCTCAAAAATGGGGCGCTGACGCATGAAGATAAGGCCCGTCTCCTCGCGATGGGACAGCCGCACGTGGGGGCGTGGCTCAATGCCGTCCCTTCGCCACAACTGGGGACGCTACTCCCAAATGAGGCATTCCGGGTAGCATGCGCCCTTCGTCTTGGTTGCGACGTTTGCCACCCTCACAAATGTCCATGCGGAGCTAGCGTGACATCAAAAGGCTATCATGGCCTGAAATGCAAAAGCAGTGCCGGTCGTCATTCTCGACACACTGCTGCCAATGACGTGATTTGGAGAGCACTCCGCACTGCTGGAGCCCCCGCTATCAAAGAGCCACCAGGGTGCTCTCGCCAAGACGGAAAGCGCCCAGACGGCCTAACATTAGTACCGTGGGCACGAGGGAGACCCCTTGTATGGGACTTTACATGTTCGGACACCTTCGCACCATCTTACCTCCCTCAAACGTGCGTTCATCCTGGTGCGGCAGCCGAAAGAGCGGAGGACGCCAAGAGGAAAAAATACGAATTCCTCCAGGATCGATTCATCTTTGTACCCGTAGCCATCGAAACAATGGGAGTGTGGGGTAAGGAGGGTCTGTCCCTTATCAAGGAAATCGGATCGAGGATCACGATCCTCACTGGGGAGAAGAGGTCTTCATCTTTCCTCTGAGGAAAGATGAAGATGAAGATGAAAGATGTTCCTGTATGAGGAACATCTTTCCTCATACAGAGGATGAGTATGGCAGTGCAGCGTGGAAATGTTGCTGCAATTTTGGGATCTCTTCCAGCCGGACGAGAGCTGGATGAGATTTTTTTACTGTAGGACTACGAAATAGGTTAAGTTTTTTATATATTTCGGATAGGGCAATTTTGTGAAGCGCTGGGCGTTTAGACTTTTCTCAAAAGGAATAATTGTACACATACATACATCTCTGCGAATATAATCTATACTAAAATGAATAAAAAGTTGTTTGTTACATATACCCGCATGTACCACATTTGCGAATTAAGAACTGGTCGAAAATAAAAAATCTAGTTCATTTACTAATATGTAACGACCAAGCAGGTTAAAATAGTTGTGATGAAGATAATTCCGTTGCTGGCGTTGTGAATATTCATAATCAAATCCCTCTGGCCATCCACAAAAAATGGATATTTTTATGTTATCCACTTTTATTTAGTGACGTCTCTGGACCAAGAGAATATACACCACATCGTAATCCAATTTTTTTTTTACTTAATCACGTCAACAAAATTTTATGACAAGAAAATTGCGCTGCGGTCAGCCATATTGTAATTTACGTCTACCATTCACAGCAATTAACCTTCGAGTGGGAGTACCCCAAATGTCTTATATTGAGTCACTAATATTGTATCTTCAAAGGACGTCATTTTTGCGATGATACAAACAACAGGTTCATGTGCGTAATCATAATATTTATTTCGTGTACATTACACTTAAAAATTTGGAGCAATTTATTCCCTTTCTTTTTACAAACAATGGAGGAAAATCACTTTCCCAAATGCAATGAATGGACATGTTTATAATTTGTTCAATTATGCAAATCCTTGACTTATTAAAAAAAAGGAAACGGAAATGAGCGTTGCATTTTAAAGTGTTGACTTCCTGACATGCAGTCTTGTCATTTTTATACATGATGGAAAATATACAAAGGTAAGTAAATTGACGACATGACAATTAACATTCTTTTAGTCTTTGGTTGCATAATATGTATATGAGTTTGCCAAATTTTGAATTTTGAGTCGTCTCTTATGCGTGGTTAAAGTCAAGTTTACCAAACTATTTACCTAATGCCGTGTTCAATTAATGAAGCGTCTTTTCTTTTAATAATTGTTATAATTTTCTACCCATTGTTTCATGAATATTTATTGTGCTTCTGCTTTTCTGCCGTCAGAGTAATATCATAGACGTGTATACATATATATACTATCGTTACAATATATGAGCACTACTCCGCAGATAAGTACCAAGCATTTCAAATATTTTGCACCAACGACCTAACTCGACCTATATGACCTCACTGTTCCACTGCTGATCTTGTCCATTTTCGACCTCGATTACATACTACAGTACGTAACTACGTTCCAAATTTCAAGTCAATAGGTCTACGGTCACCATCATTAGGCAGATGGACGGATGGACATGAGGATATTTTTTGTGCTAAAAGCTCTTATCTATTATTGTTACAACTGCCTTATACTTATTATTATAATTAAAGGGTTATTATTTACTAATTGTAACCTTTTAATTTATACATAATGGGTAATAATAAGTTCAAATTTAAACTTCAACATTTCAGAAACCTGCTTGTACGTATGACAAAAAAAATGAATTTTAAGCCAAACAATTTATAAAATAAATACAAAAAATACAGCCTTGCCTAAGATACTTTATCATCCTCTTGTACTTTGTATTCTATTATTTTCCGTCTTCTATTACAGCCATGAACCGACCACCATTGAACCAACGCCAAAACAAAGAGCCAACTTAACGTTCCAAGTATGAGTATGTATGACTTTACGACAACTCTGCACGGTGACATTTTCTGACTTCTGGACCTTCACATGCACATTAAGTTATTACTTAAATACATCTCTTGTGTTTCACATATCATTCTTATGCAGTGAGATAAGAACACAACAAGTTAACTAAACCCAGACGGTGGATAATTAAACCTCATGTTTTTTTCTGTTCTTTATTTTATGCTAAATAAACCATGATCACAGTGAGTGTTAAATTATACATGCATACCTAACCCGTCGTTCACACATATTTTTATGCATTTATTGTATGCAATCTACGATAAAATATTTGCATTATGAGCACTTTGCTGTAATAGGGCACCCGACAACTTATTTTCTCCATCAACGCTATAATATATTATATTAACATTGTCGTGTCAAATGGCACAGCCCAGTAATTAACTCTGTAGGTGTAAACCGTAAGCGAACATCGGATTTCATCTGACGGCCATGCAGGAAACTCATTTCCGATCGGCATGAATTTTATAATGTGGCTGGCGATATGGGGATGAGGACGGAGATGAATCTTGGCTTGTTTCGTTTTCACCTTGTCAAACAGTCAGACGAGGCGAAATAGATGAGCTTCGCACATACGCCTTGCCTTCATACGACTCCTCTCTCCATCAACTATTTACGAACGCTAGGTTCGTCGTCGCGTTCATTCGCTGGTTCTCCTGGGCGTATCATTAATGACTTTGCGGTTACAACACTGCGTAATGATTATGCTCATATATTCAGAAATATGTTGTGTGATGTGCATTATGGAAGCTTGCTTCTCAATCATGCCCTGCAACACCTTATCTTTCCACCATTTCGTAATAAAGCAAACTCCACGCCGTGCGAGATAAGGTCAAATAAACAAAGCTGGGGTTTGGCTTTGACTATAGTTTCCCGTTTCTTCTGGTGCGTTAAGTTAATGTAAGGGCTTCACACGTATTGTCACATTCTGCGTTTGAATAAATATCGCAATCAAGTGCTGCAAGGACAATTTTTATTCCATGTGGTATTAACCGCATACGAAGAAAGTCGAGATATTCTCTGCGAGTAAGTCATCATGTATCCAAAAGTGGATGGGGTGGATTTGAACGGTGGAGGACAAAAGAAGATCTGCATGAAAAAAGGATGCGATGACACAGTTTAATTTTGCTAATCCAGCCGGAAAGTTGGAATTCTCACGCAATCCGGATCTTGGTGATCAAATAAAGAAGTTTACGTTTCCTAGTTGTTGATTGGTCTGCAAAATACTTGTTGATACGAAGTGTATTGTTATGCCATGTGCATGTTTTTCAT